CCCCAAAGACTTGGCAAAGAGCTAGGATGGATCAGAAAGGCACACAGTCAAGATGAAGACAGAGATAATCAGGAAGGCCCACTGGGAAAGGCAAATTGAAAGAAAATAGGTAGTGATGTAAGCAATGTCATGAGGGAAGAGTAGCAAAAGAGTGCAGGCTAGGGGCAAGGCAGAATGCCAGATCTTGGAATGACAAATCAGGCAAAGGAATTAGGACAATGTATGTACAGGAACCCAAAGCTAGGATGCACCTACTGGAATGCCGTATAAGACAGGCCCTTGGTTACCAGACAAGATTGTAGGAGCACAGATATAGATGCAAAATATAAGTTCCCAGCAGAAAAACAGCAGATCTTATTGATGCCTTCAGTGTACCTCACCTAGGAATAGAATTAGTCTTGGAGTGTGACCTTAGGCTCATTACTTAGGAATTCAGTAATCTTAACTATCATGGTCAGAGCTCTTTCTTTCAAAACATGTGACATGCTATTCTTGCCCCATGAAATATTTAAAATGAAAAGAAAAAAAATGGGAGGGAAGGAGGAAAGAAGAAAGGGTGAGTTTTAAATTCGTAGGTTTAAATAGTTTGAGAAACGCCGCATGTAATAGCATCCGTTGAGGGATTTTTAAAGTACATTAGCATAAAACTCCATTTAAACAAGCAGTCATTTTCCAAACTTATTGAACCACTGAACCCCACAGGGCACTCTAGAAATGAATAGTTCAGAGGAATGCAGGGGCAGAGAACCACACCATCTTTTGCAGGAGAAAGAAGGGTATCACAGAAAAATGGAAACCCTGAGAAAAAGGCATAAAGAAGACTAAAGATTAACCCAAAAGTGTGGTTGAGAAGAGGTGAAGATTCTGTTTGAAATTACAAAGGAACTGAAAAGTGTGAACAGACAGAAAGAAGGTTCCCGAACTGAGGAATCACAACATAAGCAGCAACGATGGAATGCCCTACATCTCCGAGCTCAAAATCGACATCAGGATTGAATATTAGGGAGGGTGGGCTGCAGAGTGGAGGGTGGGCTGTGGTTCTTACCCAGTGGAAGTGCATGTAGTGGAAGGCACCAGGACTTTGAAAGAAGATTTATCCATCTGATGTCAGCATTGTCATTTCCCCCATATGTAACCTTGGGTAAGGTGCTTAACTTCATTTTACCCTCCTTTTTAGCAATGGAAAACTAAGTTTTAAAGACAGAATGTGACTTGGCCAACATTCCCAACTAGAACGCATCACAGCCAGGATTCAAAACCACAAATGTAGGCTAGGCACAGTGGCTCATGCCCAAAATCCCAGTATTTTGGGAAGCAGAGGCGGTAGTATTGCTTGAGCCCAGGAGTGTGTGACCAGACAGGGCAACATAGTGAGACCTCATCTCTACAAAAAAATTTTTAAAGTAGCTGGGTGTGGTGGTATGAGCTGTAGTCTCAGTTACTCCAGGGACTGAGGCAGAAGGATCATCTGAGCCCAGGTGGTATATTGAGCTGCAGCTTGCCATGATTGTGCCACAGCAATCTAGCCTGGGTGACAAAGTGAAGTCCAGGAAAAAAAAAATGCAGCTGCCCCTAGAACTGCTGGCCTTTACCACAGTATTCTACCATATCCATGATCTCTTTGCCTTCAGCCTCTCAAAGGCAAGAGAGTCAGCCACTCACACACCCAATGCTCACAGTCTCTCTCTGGTTCCGCTGGGTCTTTGTTTACCTATTAATCCACTAAAAGCATCATCCTCCCCTCACCTCCTCCATAGGAAAGATTTTATTGGAATATAGCATTACATAAGATCTATGCTATTGTTTTAAAAAATTCACCAAATTCCACCTTTAGGTAACACATTTTTTATTCCAGACACGGGCTATTATTATAGCTATTTTATTTTAAGCTAACAGATACACTCAATTCAGGTATAACATTGGACACTGTTCAGGTGACAGAGCCAGCACCACCACGTGAAGATATCTTTGGTGGCTTCTATTCTTTGAGCAGCTGGTTTAGCTCCTCTGGGCATCTAGGCAATTATACGTGACCAGCACTTGTTTATTTCCTTTTTCGAGTCATTTCAGTCTTTGCACATAATGCTCCACTCGAGGACTCGCCAGATCCAAAGGTTTTCTTTTCCCCTCATCTCCCCATTTCCCAAATTGGAATCCCAGGAGACCTGGGTGAGCAACCCGGGGGATAGATAACGTGTTCTCCTTCCCCGCCTCAGCCAACCGGTTGTCTCGTGCTTTGGCAGCTGAAGGCCCGCAGGCGCCACCTCTGGAGGTGAATGTGGGAAGAAAGCCCGACTGAGGCTTGGCTTTGACTTGTAAACAGAGGCTTTGAAAGAGCAAAGTTGTGAGTTTGTCTCCACTAAAGCAAACTTCCTCTGCTGTTTGCTTTGGGCGTTTTGCCGATGTATCTGCAGAACAGGAATGGATTTCCTGTCTGCTCGTGCAGCCTCCTCCAGCGACACACGGCTCAGCTGCCACCATGAGGCTGCAGAGCAGGCGTGCGGATGCGTCCGGGTCAGAGCCAGCATCCAAAGAGCTTCCCCTACCGCTGCCCTTCTTTAACTGTTTCTTCCCCCAGCTTAGTCTGGCGGTGTATCTGCAACTTGCCAAAGAGTGGTGGTTAAGGAGCTCCCGGGAGCACCAGCCTTTTCGAAAAGCCACTGCTCCCAAGAAGACAAGAAAAAGTCGGGGCGTGACCGACCTCTCTCTGTGTGCCCCGCTAAGCACTGTGCCCAAATAAGGCAGTGCCTACCTCGCAGGCTGTTTTGAGGTTATTTCCATTTAACCAACAGGATCAAAGATCCCCGGAGTGACAAATGTCCTTGGGTTTAACCCCAGGTCCGCCCACCTTCAACCATGGAGTTCTCCCGGGTGCTGAAATTCAAATACTGGCGAGGCAATTTCTCTAAGCACTGAAGCAGGCAAATCTACATTTAGGATCTTTTTCTTTTCTTCTCTCTCTCTCTCTTTTTCTTTTCTCTCTCTCTCTCTCTCTCTCTCTCTCTCTCTCTCTCTCTCTCTCTCTCTTTCTTTTCTCTCTCTCTCGCTCTCTTTTTCTTTTCTCTCTCTCTCTCTTTTTCTTTTCTCTCTCTCTCTCTCTCTCTCTCTCTCTCTCTCTCTCTCTCTCTCTCTCTCTCCTTGAGCTCTCACTCTCTCAACCAGGCTGGAGTGCAGTGGCATGACTATGACTCACCTCCTGGGTTCAGATGATCCTTCCACATCAGCTTCTTGAGTAGCTGGGACTACAGGCATGCACCACCACACCTGGCTAATTTTTCCCCCCTGTGTTACCTAGGCTGGTACTGAACTTTTGAATTCAAGCAATCCTCCTGCCTTGGTCTCCCAAAATGCTAGGATTGCAGGTGTGAGCCACTGTGCCTGGTCCATTTTTCTTGATATAGTGGTTCCCCTATTATATCTTTCTTTCTTTTTTGTAACTTTGGGACAGGTGTGGATATTACATTCTTATTTTCCTTTTTATTGTAACAAAACTAGATGTGATTACAAACAGCACCTCCCTTAGGATCAGGGAAACAAAAGGGGAGCTCTGTGTGTTCAGTGACTACACAGAGTCACAAAGAAGGTGGCTCTGCCTACTGTTACTAGGGGCAATGCAGGCTAGCAACCCCATGCTGTCCAATGTTTCAAGAGAAGCAAGCAACCTGGATCTTTAATGAGAACTCTTTATATTTAAGTGTTGGCAACTAATTTATGTAAAAATAAAAAATAAACTGTACAGGCCAATATAGTATGACAAACCAAATATGCCCATAGGAAAGATGCTAGAGCTGTCCATCTTTGTGCTGCAACATCTGCGCTGTTGTGCCTTTCAAAGAGTTAGCTGATTAGCTCTGATTTAAGACCTCCAGAACCCATAGAGGGACCTCAGGAACCCAGCAGGACTGTGAAAGACACACTTCAGCGTTTCTGTGATCATGGGTTATGAAAGGTCGCACAGTTCCATCCTCAGAAAAAAACTGGCTGTGTTCTTCCTACTTAATGTATGTGGAGAAACATTAAACACAAAGATTACCTGATAGGAACAACAGGATTTGAATCATATCTAAAGGGTATTAGAGAGTTTGGGGGGAAAGATGGGCTTATGTATTATCTCTGTGACATTTCCAATTAAATGCAAAATCAACAGAACATCTCTGCCAGGGTCACGGTGGTAATGAACATACACCTCAGCTTGTTAGCACACCAATCCCTCAAAACAGCAAAAAAGAGGATAAATCAACTGTCTTTGCTACCTTTATCAGCATAAACAAAGAGATAAAAATATGGTGTAAAATTTTAACTATCTTTCCCCATTCTACCTGCAAATGTGAAATTCCCCTGTGCTTCAATAAAGGAAAAATACATCCAATGAAGTCTAACAAATGTGCCATCTGTTCAGAAAACTGACGGTGGGGGACTTTTACATGTGACATCACTGCCCTCGTGTGTTCTCAAAAAATAATGCAGTTGCTTTCCCAGAGAGGCTTGAAAGACTATGACTAAAAAATACATATAGGTTTCATAAATTAAAATAATTTATAACATGAAACAATATGTGAAAAAATACCTTTATTTAAAAAACACAGAAATAACTTATAATGAAACCTCTATTCAAATCAGACCCTAGTCTCCAGGCTTCATTCCACACTGAGTTTTCTTATAGAAGGGAGAAGTCAAGAGGAAAAAACAATGTCATTAGGAAACAGCTGGATAGCAAGGAGGTGCAACTCTCAGACCTAATGATGACATTAGTCACTTGCCTGTCACAGTGTCCATACCCTGCAGAGCCCAGCCTGCATGAGGTTCAAGGGGAGACCTTTCACTTCTCACCCTCACACTTTTCGGTTTCACACCATCAGTTTGGTGTGTACCTGGCTGTACCATTCAAGTCCAAAATCATCCCAGAGGCTATTCTTGGGCAGGTATTCTCCAAGGGAGTGGCAGGAATTCAACACCTGGACAAAGTAGAAAAGAAAATTTTCTGAGCCGCCCGGGAGAAGATGGCAGGCCCAGCAATGTCTGGGCTCTTCAGTACGTCCGTGGTCAGGCTATTTGCCAAGCTTGTGAGGCCGGCTGTTCAGGTATGTGGTATTGAAGGCCACTGTACCACTGCTCTTTGTTCTGTTGCGTCGAGACAGAATAAGCTGAAGCAAGTAGAAAAGAAGTTGTCGAGAGCAGCACAACTCCTGAAGGAACCCAAGGTGACTGCTTCTATTTTGAATCCCTATGTTAAGTGTTCCATTAGAGTGAAAAGCCTAAGTGATATCACAGCAAAACAGAGGTTCTCTCCCCTCACATCCAACCTGATCAATTTGCTTGCTGAAAGTGGCTACTTAGGCAATACCCAAGGAGTCATTTCTGCTTTTCCTACCATGATGAGTGTCCGCTACGGAGAGGTGCCTTGCACAGTGATCACTGCATCTCCTTTAGAAGAAGCCACTCTCACTGAATTAAAAACAGTCCTGAAGAGCTTCATAAGTCAAGGCCAAATATTGAAATTGGAGGTTAAGACTGATCCATCAATTATGGGTGGAATGATTGTTCATCTTGGAGAGAAATATGTTGACATGTCCGCAAAAATCAAGATTCAGAAGCTGACCAGGACTATGTGGGAGATTATCTAAAAGTGTTGATTTTCTATCATCAGTGAAAATTCTTAAACTTGAAGCAACAATAAAAAGCTTCCAGAACAAGAAGAAAAAAAAACCAAACTTTCCCAATGTGGTAAACCAGACAGAATGAGGAAATTATAACCAAAACTACAAAAATCATATCTTTACTTTTTTCTTTTTTCCTGACTATAGGGTGACTCAGTCAATAAAAAAAAATTTTTTTTAATGTAATAGAGATAGGGTTTCATTATGTTGTCCAAGCTGATGTCAAACTGCTGGCCTCAAGTGATCCTCCTGCCTCAGTCTCCCAAAGTTCTGGGATTACAGGCATGGGCCACCATGCCTCACCTAAATATATATTGAAAGTCAAGTATCAGCGGGGCTCAGTGGCTCAGGCTGTAATCCCACGTTTTGGGAGGCTGAGATGAGTGGATTGCCTGAGCCCGCGGGTTCGAGACCCGCCTGGGCAACTTGGCGAGACCTCATCTCTACAATAAATCAAAAATTAGCTGGGCGCAGTAGCGCACGCCTGTAGTTCCGACTACTTGGAAGGCTGAGGCAGAAAGATCGCCGGAACCCAGCAGGTCGAGGCTGTGGTGGCCGGGAGGGGCCACTGCACTCCAGTCTGGGCCATGGAGTGAGACTCCAACTCAAAAAAAAAAGAAAGTCAAGTATCTACAGACATAAAATAAGGCACCTGGCACACTCAGTTCAGAAACCACTCTCATCCAAGTAATCTGTAATATGAGAATTATATCATCTATTTAATCTTTACCATCACATTATGGAGGGTCAAGATACAATAAGACTTTCTCTCCTTGGACATCAAAGTTTCCCCAAGACTTGGTCAAACACTGTGAGTTTTTATCATAACATTCTAGTTCAAATCTAGATGCAAGTGTTAGATTGAAATTTCATGCATGTGACTGGGCACAGTGGTTCATGCCTATAATCCCAGCACTTTGGAAGGCCAAAGAAGGAGGATTGCTTTTGCCCAGGAGTTCAAGACCAACCTGGGCAACATAGCAAGACCTCATTTCTATTAAAAAAAAATTTTAAAAATCAGTCAGGCATGGCGGTAAGTGCCTGTAGTCTCAGCTACTCGGAGGCTGAGGTGGGAGGACTGCTTGAGCCCAGGAGTTTGAGACTGAGGTGAGTCATAATTATTCTATTGCACTCCAGCCAGGATGACAGAGTGGGACCCTGACACAAAAAATAAAATAAAATAAGAAGAAATAAAGTTAATGTATGTAATTGTTTATGTGATTATCTATAAACCTAGTGAGTAACTTGAATTCATATAACCTAGCATGTGAAGGTCTCGTTGCTCCCAGTAAGGGTCAAAACCAGACCAGTTGCCACAGAAGAAAAGTTCCTCAAGCCCTTAGTCAGGGGAGGCTGACATAGCTTCCAGGTCTACTCAGCTGCAGTCAGTGTTAGGGAATGCTGTCTAACTGGCTGCTGCTAACCTGCAGACCCGGAGCACACAGGCTGCTATTACATAGCCCAGCCCCGACTCCAAGCACAGTCCCCACCCCTGTCACAAGAATGAATGGGACCTTCACTCCCTAACAAGTAGGCAGAGGACAAAGAACTAGTCTGTTGTTCTGGGCAAGTATTCACATCAGAAGTGGCTATTTGGAAAGAGGAGACAGGAGAGTGTCTGAGAAGATGGGCTTTGGCATCAGACATACCCAAGACATCCTAGCTGTGGATCTCAGCAAGTTCACCCATGACTGAGCTTAGATCCTCAGTTGTAAAATGGGGCTAACAGACCTCCCTTCTTGGGTTGGGGTGAGAATGAGCACAAGCTTAGCAGGACTTTAACACAGTTCCTAGCATGTCACACATGTTAAATTTAGAATGCTAAGCGAGCTGGCATTGTAAATAAACGAAGCCAGGTTTGAAGGCCAGGATGATTTTAGCTTGGAGTGAACAAAAGTGTCAAAGCAGAAAAGCCTTTGCATGTAATATAGACTTCTAGACTGTGAAGGATACAAACTCTATGGCAACAAGTTCAGGGCAAGACTGAGAGTTAGAGAGCCTGGCCAACATGACCTGCAACCATTTGTCGAACATTTACTTCTTCCCTTGTAACTTGTCAGGGGCCACTATTGATCATTTTTCTTTCCCTTCTGAGCCATTCCCGAGACTGGGCTGACAAAGGTGAATGGCAAAATGATGGCTTCTAACTAGAAGGTTTTTGTACCACCACATTCCTCTGGCGGCTGCTATAGCCTTTTCACACCAGGGTAACCAGCTCTGCCCTGGAGCATTTCAAATGTGGTCCCTTTCGTACTGCTGGAAAGCAACCCTGTGACCTTTGTTTCTTCACTGTCAAGAACTGGGCAGAGGGGTTAAGCTTCTGGTCCCCAGTCTTCCTTCAATTTAGTGTCCGTTCCCTACTTTATATTCCAAGCCCTTTTTAGACCAAGTCCCCACAGAAATCTCAGCCTTTGCTCCCTCACCTTTTCTGTGAGTTTCAGTCCCAAATGCTTTGTACGGATCCACTATTCCTTTCAATCACTCCACCTCCACTTTTTTTTTTTTTTTGCCAGTGAAATATAGACCCTTTGACTTGCCTTTCTGCATCACTTTCCTCAATAGAAGTTAAAATTGGTTAAGGCCTCTGTCTCAATCGGAGCTCTTCTTTAGACAGCTTCATTGTAGTACAATTTACATACCATAAAATTCATTGTTTTAAATATACAACTGAATGAATTACAATACAATTACAGAGTACAAGCATCAACAATCTAATTTTAGAATATTTCCATCAACCTAAAAAGAAATCTCATGTCAATTACAGTCACTCCAAATTCCTACCTTCAGACTTTTGATCATTTCATATAAATGAAATCATAAGCCTTGCATATTTTTGTGTCTGGTCAAGCTGAGTCCTTTTTACATTCCTAGTACTTTGAACATCACCTTGGACAGTCCAGACCATGCACCCTTCTGCTCTTGTGCCCTGGTCTGTCAGAGAAGACATCCACATTTCTTGACAACGATTTGAATACTGTCTATGTTCAGGCTGTTAAGCTCAGTCTGGGGATACAGTCACCAGCAAAACCAGACATAGTGTCTGTCCTCACAAAATTACACCGATACTTATTTCACCCAAATAAATTTAAAGTAATCAGTGTGATATGTTTTACAAAAAAAGACAAAATATTGATCTTAATCTGAACTTACTTGATGCAGTTTACAATTTATGCCTATTACCAATAGAGCTAGCATCTTGAAAAACATTGACTTTTTGGTCAAAATGGAAATAATATTTCCATTTTTCCTAAAGGTAAGACATGATATTCAATGCAGTTCTTATCAAATCTCAAATCTTAGCTATCAAATTGCAGCTTCCTTTTTTGCAGAAATTGACCAGCTGATCCTAGAATTCCTATGGAAATAAAAGCCACCTCAAATAGCCAAAACAATTTTGAAAAAGAACAAAGCTATAGAACTCACACTTCTCAATTTTATTTTATTTTCCAATTTTAAAACTTACTACAAAGCTACCATAATCTAGACTGGTGGTGCTATTATAACATAGACATATAAATCAGTGGAATAGAATTGACAGCCCAGAAATCAATTTATTTCAACAGGGTGTCAAGACAATTCAGTGAGAAAATGATACTGAGACAACTGGACAGTCACATGCAAAAATTAACTACAACTAGATCAAAGATCTAAATGTAAGACATAAAAGTATAAATACTTGGAAGAAAACAGATGTAAATCTTTGTGACCTTGGATTAGGCAATGAATACTGAGTTATGGCAACAAACACAGCAACAAAAGAAAAAAATAGAAAAATTAGACTTAATCAAAATGTAATACTTTTGTACCTCAAAGGACATTATCAAGAAAATCTATAGAACTGGAAAATATATTTGTAAATTATACATCTTACTAGGCGTGGTGGCTCATGCCTGTAATCCCAAAAATTTAGGAGGCTGAGGCAGATGGATTGCTTGAGGGTAGGAATTCAAGACCACCTTGGGCAACAAAGCAGAACCCCATCCCAAAAAAAATTTTTTTTTAAATTAGTCAGGTTTTGTGGCCATGTGCCTGAACTCCTAGCTTCTTGGGTGTCTGAGGCAGAAGGATTGCCTGAGCCCAGGAGGTTGACACTATATTGAGCAGTGATCATGCCGCTGCACTCCAGCCTCAGTGACAGAGTGATACCCTGACTCAAAAAAAAAAAATCTGGGGTGGGGAGAGGTGTGATTGGCAGTAGTGGGAATCTGCCAGGGGTGGGAGTACACCTCATCAACAAGGGTACCTGCATAATGAACATTTGTATACCTAACCCTGAATTGTACCCCACATCTTTAAAATAAAAAAATTAAAAGGGAAACAAATCATATATCTGAGAAGGATCTAGTATCCAAAATAAATAAAGAATTCTTATGACTAAACAACAAAAAGACATTTTAAAAATGAGAGAAAGACTGAAGAGATATCTCTTCAAAGAATATATACAAATGGTCAACAAACACACATGAAAAGATGCTAGGATTATTAATAATGTATAGTTTTATTTTGTAGAAAAATCACAATGAATTATCACTTCACATGCAGCAGGATGGCAATGATCACAAAGACAGACAATAACAAGTCTTGGTGAAGATAGATGCACAGAATAGAAACTACACACATTGCTGGTAGGGATGTAAAATGGTTCCGCCGCTGTGGAAAACAGCTTAGTAGATTCTCAAAATATCAAACATAGAATTACCATCTTACCCAGCAATTTCACTATTTGGTGAATAACAAACAGAACTGAAAATATATGGCCACACAAAACCATAAATGAAAAACCACACATAAATGTTCATAGCAGTATTATTCACAATAGCCAACATGTAGAAGCAACACGAGTGCCCCTCAACTGATGAACGGATAATCCAAATGCTGTATGTCCATATAATGGAACATGACTCAACTATAAAAAGGAATGAAGTACTTCATTACATGCCACAACATGAATGAAATTTAAAAACATT